ATAAATATTAACAATAAAATATATTTAACGTAAAAAATATTTAACATGTAACAATTTAAACTAAAACTCATTAAATATCAACATTATTAACATTATTAATTAGTGTGAAAAATACTCGTTAATTTTGAATAATAAATAATAATATATCTTTTAATTATTCAACTCAATTTTTACTAACAGTTTGAAAAATTATATCGGTTTTTGAAAGGTTTTTTCTGAACTTAAAACGAATCGTATGCATTTTAATAGGTAATAACTTTATTCGTTGAAATAATTTATTAATAAAATAATAACAAAATTACTTGACATTATGGTTTTGTTTTTAATTCGTTAAACTGTGTTTTTAAAAGCTTAAAATGCTGATTGGTAAAATTATAAGTTCATCATTATAAATTTGGAATAAATTGGTATAATAACAATAATTTACAATTATTCTATAAACATTTTGTAGTAATAATTAATATCATTAATTATTAAAAATTTTTAAAATAAACAAAGAATGTATTAATAAAAATTATTAATTATACTTAAATAATGATACAATCAACCAAATTAATAAAACAATTTTAATTTTAATATTTTAATAAAAATTTAATACAATTATTTTGTTCTAAAAATAATACAATAAAAAATGTATTATTAAACATTTAATATTTTACAATACAATTATATTACAACTTTTGTTTTTATTAATAAAACACCCGCTTAATTAGTATACGAAGCGGAATGTTTAATTATGTAAACAAAACAGAGATCTTTTCAACTTCCTTCAAATTCTATTTTAGTATATGGTATTTCCAAATCATAACAAACAGACTTGCAAACGGCCAAAATACTTCAACAAAATCGGGAATATTACTTTTAAAAATTCCATTAAGAAATAAACTATTCTCAATAGTTAAATAACTTAATATAATAAACAATATTTCATAAAATATTTGATCTATAAAAAACTTAGGTCTTTTTCCACAAAAGTTCAATAAACTTTTCAAGCTTAATAAACCAGAAATACTTGCTTATTTTATTATTTTTCTATATCAGTCTTCTTAATTCAAAAGCTAATCTTTACTTATCAACGACTGAATTAATTTGTTATTAAATAAGTTTTATCAATTAAGCGAAGAATGATGGCATATATCAGGATACTTTCCCCAAACAAGAAATGAACTAAACACGTTCTTAATTAGCATAGATAACAAGTAACAAGAAGACAATAGAAAAAAAAACAAGGTTAGGAGTTTTAAAATGAGATCCACCGTTTGTAGATTGCCACGTCGAAGTTGTATAAAATTGGAACTGTGAACTGACGAGCACACCATGTCTGGCATCACATTAAACGACGAAGTGACTACTGTTTTCAACGACTTCAAGTTGTCGCACAAATTCAGATACGTCATCTTCACCATGAACGACAAAATGACCGAAATCGTCGTTGAAAAGACTGCTGACAAAGCTGCTACTTATGACCAATTCATCGCTGACTTGCCACCAAAGTCCGCCAGATATGCCGTGTATGACTTAGAATATACTACTGAAGAAGGTCAACGTGAAAAGATTGTCTTCTACTTGTGGACCCCAGACGGATGCAAGATCAAGGAAAAGATGTTGTTCTCTGCTACTAAAGCTACCATTAAACAAGCTTTCGTTGGTATCTCTGCTGAGATCCAAGCTACCGACGCTGGTGAACTCGAACTCCAAACCATCATCGATAAGGTTAAAACCATTTCCAAATGATTTCTTTTAATTTCATGGGTTATTCTTCTTGTGTCTCTTCGGTTTTCTATTTTGTATAATTATTTTTACTATTATTTATAATATTTGTTGTAGGGTCTAATAATCAAAGTCATTTATTACCCATTTTTTTACTATTTATTATGGTTTTTTTTATAATAAAGTTATTATAAAAAAGTTGGTTTGAAACTATAAACGATAATTAATTCTAGTTTTTGTTGTTATACAATTAAATGTACTAAATATTAATCATT